CGGTTCTCAACCTTCCCAATGCCATGACCCCTTAATACAGTTCCTCATATTGTGGTGACCCCCAACCATAAAACTATTTTCGTTGCTACTCTATAACTGTAATTTTGCTACTGTTATGAATCGTAATGTAAATATCTTTTTGTTTTCCGATGGTCTTGGGTGACCCCTGTGAAAGGGTCGTTCGACCCCCAAAGGGGTCGTGACCCACAGGTTGAGAACCGCTGCCTTATTGTGTTTTGAATCTCTGCCTTCTTCTGTGATCAGCTGGAGAAAATTCTTTGTTTTGAAGGGCTCATGTAATAAGGTCAGGCCCACCTGAATAGCATCCCTTGGCCATAGGCCTTAAACCAAATAAGATGGCACAGGTGTAGTTATTTCAGCAAAGATTGGGAAACCTGGCTGGGCTGTGGGGTAGCATGCTGCGGTGGGGAAGAGCGGGGCACTGTGGCAGGTTTGACGCTCCGCTCCTGCAGATAGGAGTCCAGTGACACAAATACCCTGGTGTTAAGGCCAGGCCTGCAATTTCCTGGTGTGAATCCATTGTGTGAGCTTTGGCGAGCAGCCCCAAGGCTTAGTGAGCTGGGCGCTGTGACAAAGGGCAAACAGAGCTGAGGCTTCTCTGGTAAGTGGCCATGGAGGCTGTGATTATGCATAATGTTGGAAAACCTGCTCCCCCCCCCCCCCCCCCCCGCCCCCAGTCTTTCAGTATTGTGAGGATAATTGTTTTGGGTGTTGGCTTACATTTGCAGTTCTTTTTAGTTAAGAGAGTGATTTCACAGTTTATGGTCTCAAGTTTTGCTTCAACCCTGTGAAGTTGAAATTACTATTTCCCTTTAGGTATGGTGAAGTTAAGTATTAATATAGAATAACTGCCAACACACTAAAAAAGTAGATACTATTACGTATTCTCATTTTACAGGTGAGAAAATTGAAGCTAAGAAAGGTTAAGTGTCTAATGGCACTTTGTAAGCTGTAGAACTGGGACCAGGACTCGGGGATGTGTCCTTCTTGATCTTGTGCATTGTCCCCAACACTGTGCTCTCAAGTTGACCACTAACTTGGACCTGCCGTGAAAAGGTCAGCATGGGCATAGCTGATAACTACCCTTTATTTCTGAAGGGCAAATTGGCCCGGTAAAGTATTTTTGGTTGGCAGGTTTTTTCTTCCAGCACTTTAAATATATCATCACACTTTCTCCTGACCTGCCAGGTTTCTGCTGAGAAATCCCCTGGTAGCCTTATGGGGGGTTCCCTTGTATGTGAGGACTTTTTCTTCTTCTTGCTTCTTTTAACATTATCTGTCTTTGATTTTGTACAGTTTCATTATATAATAATGTGTCTTGGGAAGATCTTTTTTGTGTTGAAGTTGTTTGGAGACCTGCTTCCTGAATTGAGATATCCAAAGCTTTCCTCATTTTGGGGAAGTTTTTAGCCATTTTTTTCTTTCAATAAGCTTTAGGTGCTTGTCTGTGTCTCTTCTCCTCCAGGGACTCCAACATTGCATAATTGTTTCTCTTAATAATATTCCGCGGTTCATGTAGGCTTTCTTCATTTTTTTCTCTCTTTCTTTGTTTCCCTCTTATTGCATGATTTCAAAAGATCTGTATTCTACCTCACAGATTATTTCTGCTACTTGATCCTGTCTACTGTTGATGCTCTTTATTGCATTTTTCAATTTATTCCTTCTATTCTTCAGCTCCAGAATTTCTGTTTGTTGTTTTTAATTATTTCCAGCCATCTGTTAAACTTCTCATTTTATTCTTTTTTTCATGATTGTGTTGAATTGTCTTTGTGTTTTCTTTTTGTTCACCGAGCTTTCATAAAATAACTATTTTGTATTTTTTATTGGGCAAATTGCAGATCTTCATTTCTTTGAGGTTGGTTAATGGAAAATTACTGTGTTGTTTTGGTGCGATCATGTTTCCTTGATTGTTTCATTTTTCTTCACGTTTTCAAAAGTGTTGCTGTTTTCACATTTGAAGAAGCGGTCACCTCCAATTCTTACTGACTTCAGGAGAAAACTACCTTCCATCGTCCTTGTTAGGTTGTTAGGGAGTCTGAGGCTTTCTCAGACCGCTTCCTTTGATACTCCCGCTCCACACCTCTTTTCTCTCGAGGAGGATTTTTTTTTTTTAGTTTATTGGGGTGACATTAGTTAGTAAAATTGGTTTCAAGTATATGATTCTATAATACATTATCTGTATATTGCAATGTGTGTTTACCACCCAAAGTCAAATCTCCTTTTGTTACTGTTTACTTGACCCCCTTTACCTTTTTCTACCCACCCCCGCCCCATTTCCCTAACTACTAAACTGTTGTCCGTGTCTATGGGTTTTTATCTTGTTCATTTGTTGCTTTCAGTTTTACATATGAGTGAAATCATATGGTTCTTCATTTTTTCTGACTGGTTTACTTTGCTTAGCATGATAATCTCAAGATCCATCCATGTTGTTGCAAATGGCAGTATTTCACCTTTTCTTATGGCTGAGTAATATCCTATTGTATATATGTACCACATCTTCTTTATCCAATCATCTATCAAAGGACACTTTGGTTATTTCCAGGTCTTGGCTACTGTGAATAATGCTGCAGTGAACATCGGGGTACATATATCTTTACAGACAAATGTTTTCAAGATTTTGGGGTAGATACCCAGACAAGAGGTTGCTGGGTCAAATGGTAATTCTATTCATAATTCTTTGAGGAACCTCCTTACTGGCTGTACCAATTTACATTCCTACCAGCAATGCATGAATGAGGGTTCCTTTTTCCTTGAGGGAGATTCTTAAGATTTCATGAGCCTTCTCTCAATCCTGCCAAGCCAGGCTGGGTGCTGACAGCCTCCCACTTGCTGTCCCTAAGACTGTGCTGAATGTTCAGATTTGTGTGCTTTCTCACAATCCTGCAGAGTTGGGCTGGCTTTCTGCATGTGCTCACTAGCTGTCTGCAAAGGCTTGTACCTGCTGCCATAGGGGGCATGCTCAGGGAGCGGGCCATAGGGTGGGGGTGTGTGGCTGGTTTCAGAGCACTGGGTGTGCCTGTAGACCAGTTGGGAGGATTTGTAGGTGAGCTGTTCCCAGTGGCTCGTTGGTGGGCCCCCTGATGGAGTCTAACACAGTTAGGAGCATCCGTGTCCCTTTGATGCCCTCCAGGAGCCCTTGCTGCTCTTCCTTCTCCCTCGTCATGCACTCAGTTTTCTGAGTGGGGTGACAAAGAACTGGGTCTCATTGGTGGCATCCCACACCACTGGGGCACCTGGGCAGTCACTTCTGTACTCTCGCATTCCCCTGTGGGAGAAATCACACAAGGTTTTCTCTGGGTTTCTCTGGGCACTGAGCTGTGGCACCTTTGGGGAGGGTAAAGTGAAACTGTTCCTCTTACCTTTTTTAATGCATCTAATCTTGGATTTTATTTTGTCCCAATGGTAT